AGGGAACTCTACAATACTAGTGCTGCAATCCTATACACACTTACCTGGGAGTAAGTCCCACTGAAATCATTAGGACTTGCTTCTGAGTAGACAGGAATAGGATTGCACTGTAAAAAAAATCTCATGTCACAGCAAATGCACGACAGGATCGAACATGCAAGAACCTGCAACTCATTTAATAGCCTACTCAATTAATAACCTAGATCAGGGGGTAGGCAACCTCGGCTCTTTTATGACTCATGGACTTCAACTCCCAGAATTCCTGAGTCAGCGATGCTGACGCAGGAATTCTGGGAGTTGAAGTCCATGAGTCATAAAAGAGCCGAGGTTGCCTACCCCTGACCTAGATCAAAGAGAGCTTTTGAAGGTCCAAAAGCATCTTTGATATCTTTGCATACTAAACAGCGAAGACTGACTTTTAAAAACATTAGCATTTCAATATTATTTTAGCAAGTGGTTAACTCGAGCGTGTAAAATATTTCGTTTTGTTTAGATTAATTGACAGTTTGAAAGCTGGTAATGTGCATCAAAATTTTGTTATTAGTTACCTAACTTCATACGCTTCCAGTTGTTTTACTAACAGTGCAATCCTATACATTTTCCCCACCCCACTAAACATTTACAAGGCTTTAGCATTAGTTATGTGGACAAAATTATCTAGTGAGGAATTTCTCCCAAACTGCATTTAATAGGGCATCGTATTTATAGCTATTTTAATTGTATTAAACGTATTATAATAGTTCATATTGTTTCTCCTACCCTGAAAAACCTCAGAGCTAATTTATATATCTATCAAAATGTTTAAGAGTATACATATTGGATATAAAGGAACTCATAATGACAGATTCACATTATGTATCATCCATCGGTTTACTAGCAACTGAAGTTAAAAATTTATAGTTGCCAAAATAAAACAAAAACCAAGCATAGTACATCAGTCAGCCTATTTTCACTCTCATCTTGGGTACTTTATCTGCAATACAATTCCTATCAAAACTGGGAGGACAAACTTTTTTTCCTTTACATGTTCATTTTTATCTTTAGTGCCATTTACATAAAAAAAAATGGATTGCTGAGATCCTGTGGGCTTACTTGCAGGAATCCCAAGTGCTTTCCTATATTTCCTTTAAAAAAAAAAACCCCACAAACCTCCACAGCCAGTTGCCTGCCTTCCAATTAGGAGTAACTGGCTTAATATTTTAAGTTCACTGTTCTGGTTTTTAGTGGGTGATACACAGCTGTGATGCTTGTGCCAGTGTGCAAGCACACACCCATTTGTTTAAGCCATGAATTCAAAGGAATTAAGGTTTTTTTTGAATCACAAAACACTATGAGGATGTCTGAGAGACATTTAACAAGTGCTATATCCCATCATGGGGGTGGAAAAAGAGAAAAGGACCATTTTTTCCCCCCAATATGTGGATATGTCTTTCCTGGATGAGTAAGCTGAATACACTGTTGCTATAGATCAGTGTTTGTAGGAATCACATGCCGTACCATGTGGTCTACAAGAATTCGCTGCTGCCAACTTGCCGTGGGCAAGAGTTACACTAGTATCAAAGAAACAGTGGAATAAGAATGCCAAAGGAGGGACAAAATGGAAAGCGAATGGGAAAAAAATAAAGTATTTTTTAAAAATTATTTTAATGAATAATGAAATGGAATTGTTGAATTGTCCCGTTCCATGTACCATGCAGTTGGCAGAAAGGCAAACAACAGCCTTGAAGATGCAGATGGGCACCCTCAAAGACAACTAGTGCAAAATAAGTAATGCATAGCTTGCTTCACGCTGACATTTTCTTTCGGTGTGACATTGGCCAGGCTCATATATAAGCTAGAACTAGAATTCTTATCTGGCCATGAAAAGGGCCTGGGCCTGTTCCATCAAATCTGGTTCCTCCAGAGCCGTCAGGAATAAACCGAGATGCCCTAGGCTCCCATCACTAGCAGTTGTTTAACTATCTCAAAGTTTTGCAAGTTACTCATACTAGGGTTCTTGGGCTTGCTGCACTTAACAAACCAGGAATGCCAGTCTCAAACAAGGGAGACAGGACACTCTGCTTTTTATTCCTGGTTCACTTTATCCACCAGTAAGACTGTGTACACAGGCAGGAGCTAATTCCCAGCATATCCAGTTCCTTCAGAATTCTGACTTATAGTTTTTGTTTTGCTCAAAGCAGCACTGCTTTTATTTCCTGCGAGAGTTGTGTGTGTGCGCGCGTGTGTATTGTTAACTACAGTATATCAGGCACACTGACACAAGTTCTCTCCTGTTTTTTCTAATCAGCAAGTAAGAATATCGTTTTTAAAAAATGCCAAATAGCATGGCTGATGATTCTAGTTGCAACATTTTAACGCAAAAGTCATCTTTTCAGAACTACAAATCGTAATTGGAATCTGTTTATAAATGATTAGACCTCCTAGATAAATACCCTTCACAAAACTATTCTCAAGCCCTGGATTCTGGTTCAATTCCCAAACTTCATTACCAATTGGGGTGGTGGATTGTGTACATGTCTTATTATTTAAAATATTAAGGCAGATTCTGGACTATGTGGGTAAATCTAGAAAGCTCCCTTGCATTAAACTAATCTCTACATATCTGTAATTTCTCGTCTTGAAGGTTAACCCCCCTAGAGGATGATCCTGATCAATCAAGGCACAGCATGATAGGTATCCTGACACCAGTGATCTGCAAAAGTATTCAAAATGAGCTCCTGCTGTATAATGATGGAACTCAACAAGAGCGGTTGATTAAGGTTGAAGAAACCAGGGATGATTTAAATTAGTCCCTTTATTTTAGAAAAGGCATCAGAACCTATTTTCTTTGTAGGCTCAGGATCCAAGCCAAAAACACACCACACTCCTTAACCCCACACTGTGGGCCTGCCAATTCCCATTACTGTAAATATGCTACACAATAAGGTTCTACTTAAAAAAAAAAACTACCCTGCTTTTGCTGAAGTTTTTCTATGTGAGAAGACTAACCACAGGACGACAACAACAACAACAACAAAAATACCTGATTATTTGAGATCGACAATCGAAGGGGAGAAAGTTTCCTCTGTCGGTTTTCTGGAAACTTGGTTTTGCCCGTTGCGCCTTCACAATCCAGCGTGATGTTCTGGTTTTGGGTTTCCTTCTCCTTTTTCCCCTTTTTCCTTCTGGTTTCATAACCTGTATTTATAGCTTCGGTAGGCTCGGAGGGACGCTTCAACACCGGGCATTCAGGGTTTTCTTTGAGGCAAGCACAGTCCACTTTGTATTTGCTTGTTGGAAGGAAAAAAAAAAGGGGGGGGGGGAATTGACATAAGAAAAGCTTGTGGCTACGATTAGGAGATTTTTCAAGTAAACACACAAATGGAAGCCTAATTCTTTTTACAACTACTCAAAATTGAACATCATTATATTAATATTAATAATGATATGGTTGGGCAGGGACCCTGGAGGTCCTCTACTCCAACCCCCTGCTCAGGCAGGAAACCCTATACCATTTCAGACAAATGGCTGTCCAGTCTCTTCTTAAAAACTTCCAGTGTTGGAGCATGCACCACTTCTGGAGGCAGGTTGTTCCACTGATTAATTGTTCTGTCAGGAAGTTTCTCCTTAGTTGTAGGTTGCTTCTCTCTTTGGTTAGTTTCCACCCGTTGCTTCTTGTCCCGCCTTCAGGCGCTTTGGAGAATAGCTTGACTCCCTCTTCTTTGGGGCAGCCCCTCAGATACTGGAGCGCTACCATCATGTCCCCCCTCGTCCTTCTCTTCATTAAACTAGACATACCCAATTCCAGCAACCGTTCCTTATATGTTTTAGCCTCCAATCATCTAATCATTTTGTTGCTCTTCTCCGCACTCTTTCTAGAGTATCAACATCTTTTTTACATCGTGGTGACCAAAACTGGATGCAGGATTCCAAGTGTGGCCTTACCAAGGCCTTGTAAAGTGGTATTAACACTTGACGTGGTCTTGATTCTATCCCTCGGTTAATGCAGCCTAGGACTGTGTTGGCTTTTTTTGGCAGTTGCCGCACATGGGTGGTTCGTATTTAAGGGATTGTCCACTAGGATTCTGAGATCCCACTCAGTTACTACTACTGAGCAAGGTAGCACTTATACTGTACTTGTGCATTTGGTTTTTCTGGCCTAAAAGTAAGTAGAACCTTACTTTTTTCACTATTGAATTTCATTTGGTTAGTTAAACAGACTAGCAACTTTGATGAATGCTACGATCAACTCAAATCAATCCACTATAGGATATTCACTGATGGGTATGGACTATGATTTATCGCACTGGTCAAAGACAGGTTGATAAGATTGACCGGTCCATCCAACTGGTTTCTGCGCCTGAAGGAAGTCAGAATCCTAGTTGCCCTTTCCTCGTCTAGCTCCTTATAACCATTATACCAGTTCTCTCATAATTTCTAAAAGACAATCAAATTGGTATTTTAAATCACAACTTAGATTCAGTGAAACTTTCACTGTACTGCCAAAAAGAAAGATGAGGATGAAAAAAAGATTAATATGTCTAGAGTGACCAAAGGTTTTGGGATTCATGTTACCAATATTAACTATGCTCCAGTGTTCACTGACTACATCATTTTGTGATATAGTATGCGCTCTCAAAGGAAGCATTTGGCGATTTCACAGCTGTATTGCTAAATCTAATACTGGTACCTATGTTACAATCTAATGATACAAGTTATACTAGACATTTTTCGCTTACTTTTATGAGTCTGCATTTAATTCCTAGATTATGACAATACACAACTGGAAAAAAAATTGATGATTAATATAATCACCCATGAATATGTCAGCAGCATCTCCGAAGCTCAGCATTACTTACCAATTTCCATAATCAAAATCAAACGCTATTGTTATTTCTGTTCCCTTTGGAATGTCCTGGGTGGAGTAGATATAAAGGTGAATAGTTCCATCTTCAATGGCATGTCTAACCTAGGTGGGGGAAAAAAGCCAGTGTTTAAACATAAGAGTATTTTATGTGTTTTAAACATAGATTTGTTCCAAATAAAGACTTTTATCTTCTTATTGCTTTGGTAAAATCCTCTGTTCCAAAGCAGGGGAGGGCAGTCATTATAAGGTCATTTTATATCATTAATGAAATAAATACAGTCTGTTCATAATGTATATACAGTACAACCACGTAGCACTATAAAGAACTCTTATATTCCACATTCAATGGCTCAAAACATTCCATTAATTTCAGTTGGCTAGCAAGCAGGGAAGGAAACTTCTCAATTGGGGCCTGTGAAGAATGCATGAGCCACTCGGAATTAGTTATTTAAAAAAACTAATTTAGCTAGCGTCAGTATTTAGGAAAGCAAGGAAATGAAAAAAATTAAACATTTATATTCCTAAAATGGATTGTTTCAGTTATAAGGTGTGAAACAGTACAATATTAATTTTTAAAATCAAGCCAATTCCAGCAGCTTTGTCGACTTTCTTTCCAGTTACAAACACAAAGACACAATACCTTAAAAAACAAACCAACCAATTTCTTGGAAATGAAAGTTGTATTTTATACATTTCTGTGCTTTTTTTCAACCGTTAATTTGAAACAAGCTTTTGCATCTCAGATGTTTGCTTGTGAGGGAAGGGATAATGGTGCAATAGTTTTGTTCAATATATCTTGGAAGAGTTCCCAAATTGCCATAACAAATAGGTTCTGTTGTGTCCTAATTCTATGCCTGCATGAAGGATTGCATAAGCAGGACACAAATGAATTCAGTTTCTTTTCTAGAATTTCTACAGAAACACTAGTCCAAATTTTAATACGGGCTTTCAATTTCCATATCCTACAAATTCAGTTAAATGGGAAGTTTAATTTTATTTAAGAATTTAGGATGTTATCTAAGGTACAGTACCAATGACAAATGTAAAAAAGATCCCTAACTTAAGAAGAGTAAGGAAGCAGACAAACTCAAACTTGTATAATTTTACCCTTATTTTCTCCAAAAGAAATACCACCAAAAGCCAGTAATAAAGTCTCCTTCCTTCCTTCCTTCCTTCCTTCCTTCCTTCCTTCCCATCAATAAATATTAAGAATTATCACACCTATGCCAGTCAACTCATTCATACAAAAACGTCTTTTTCATATTCAACTGTGAATGACGACGGTCAATAAGTAACTCATATTCTCAATTTCATTCCTTCTGGCCTTGTTTCCTTTACAAGTTCAGATACATTATTTGCTCAGAATATTGTTCCCTGCATCTGATAAAGTAAATGACACTATACTGCATCTGCATTCTTGAAAAAGTCCCGAAACTCTAATTTTGTTGCATTAAATTCATAGCTAACCCTAACCCTTGGTTTTAGAATTTGGGTGGTGGTGGGTAATATTCCCTTCTCTTCTGCCACATTAATACAATAATGCACCAGCTTTAGTGATCTAATTACAGCACAGCACAGCACAGTAATACCATACACATTCTTGTCTCATTTTATAATAAACATAAGGTTCTGTAACTCGAGCTTACATTCCCTGAAATGTTCAAAACTGGAAAATATTTTAATTCCTGGAAAACAGCTACACACAGCTGGGTCAAATTAAGACTGGTTTGTTGAACAAAATGTTATTGGGTCATATTTATAAATAAGAAAGGCCTACCTCGGCATTAGGTGTACAAGAACGTCTAATAAATCGAGCTTCATTTCCGAAGGTTCTTGCATCCACACACATTTCCAGCCCGTGAAATTTAGAATAGAACAGAACAAAGGGGTACGGCCTAAAAACCAATGATAATAAACATTCTGTTGTCACAGTGAAAATATTTTTAAAAAATAACTAAAAGTTACTTCGTTTTTCAAATGTGTAGACAAGCAGGTACCACGGAGAAAATGTGTCACAATGTTATATTTTATATATATGCACTATAAACTTTGGGGTGGGAAGCTTCACTGCAACTTTTTATTTATTAGTTCAGAACTATGATCAAAGTGGGACTTTTCGGGCAGGCTGAAACAACTCGCTCCAATCTATTAACAACCAAGCAGTTACTAAAATTATTATGCCGTGGTTAACAGTATTGTCCAGAAAATTAAAAAAAAACAAACAAAACTCAACCATCATCTTTCCCTGTCATATTTTCCATGGTTACCATCCGTGACGAAGAGAACTAAAGGGGAAAGCTCTGTTGGGATCAATGTCTCTTCTTTAGTACACTTATAACATGTTGTTTATAAATGACTTCATGATAGTTTTATACTGTAAAAGTTGAATTTAATTCCTGGTAACTTTGGGATTCATACATACAGACTTCTTGACAAGATACTTGTCAACACTGGAAGTTTTTAAGAAGAAACTGGACAGCCATTTGTCCGAAATGGTATAGGGTTGCCTGCCTGAGCAGGGGGTTGGACTAGATGACCTCCAAGGTACCTTCCAACTTTATCATTATTATTATTACTTACAAGTATGAGGTTGTTTGCCACCTATTGTTTTTTTTGGGGGGGGGGG